CAAATTCAAGGAAATTTTTGGCTTTTAATTAAACATTAATACTAAATCCAATAGCTTAAAATATCATCCTCAGCTGATAAAAAAAAATCGCTCGAAACCTTTTTTAGTATTTGCTTTGCAAAACTATGGAATAATTTATCTCGGGTATTGTCTTTACTTTCTCCGATCCTGGACTGCATAACTGCAGTTATTACAGTAAATCCTGGATTTTTGGCTTTTAATTAAACATTAATACTAAATCCAGTAGCTTAAAATATTATCCCCAACTGATTTTAAAAAAAATTGCTCAAAAATTTTTTTACTACTCGCTTTGCAGAACTATGGAATAATCTCTCCGATCTTTTACTCTCTTTACTTTCTCCAGTCTTAGATTGCATAATTCCGGTTAGTAAATTAGTACCCCCAACCCTCTTGATTTATGTGCATCTTTTTCGAAGGCCACCCAAATGGTCATTGATCACTTTCTCGCCGGTACCACTCACCAATTCTGCTATGAACCTTGCCCACACCATTCGCAGCCTTGAGCTGCAACCTCTTCCTCAAAAGCATTGTAAATTAGTGTATTAATCCTGTACTGCTTGTTTAATCAAGCGAATCTTCAGTCATATATGTATTCACTACGATGATTAAGTATACCGAATCGTTTTGTTCTTCAATCTCAGAAAAATTTGGAAAAAAAAGATTACCGCAAAATCAGTGGCAAAGTCTCATATACATAATTGGAAGCGAATCGCCCAACACTGTCCAATATTTGACCAAACACTTCCCGATCATCCTCATCATTCATTTCATCGCACTCACGAACCGGAATCTTAAATTTCACTGAGTTATTAAGGTCAATCGCCTCAAATGTAAGGCTTCTTAGTCATTTTTTTTTTCTCTTATTATCTTCAAAACTATCTAATATGTCCCCAATTACATAGCGAAATGGATCACTGTACTGATGATTCCCACCTCATTTCGCACCAATTTAGTCGTCTGTATTTACAGTTCAGGGATGAAACACAGATGTCACCCAATGCAAACACCAGCTAGCCTAAATGAGACTGCAAAATTTGGCTCCTTTTCAGAATATTAAATGTACGTATACGATTATTCTGTTCCACTCTTTTCTCGTAGAATGTTCGCTCAGCTACGCTACACTTCAAGACACATGACACGCCTTTGCCATATACTTCCTTCCAATCCCTACTTTACTTCATTTATTATGTCACTGCACTTTGCCTGCAGTAATTCTACTCTTTCCAGTACTTCCTAAAAGCCCATAATTTTTCAGGTCATAATTTTTTCAGCCTACAAATTTTCAGCTTCTTTCATTTGGTTACTCGAACGATCTTCTGTGTTGAAATTGAAGGGTATATATATATTATTGCAAGACCCAAATTTTGCGACTGCTGGATGAAGCTACAGCATTTCGGCGTGTGTGTGAAAAAAAAATAAATAGCAACGCGCACCAGAATAGCCGGTGCGATCATGCGTTTTGTGCAATTCAGCCCATTTTTCACTTCCTTGTACTTTAGTCTATGCAAAAATAGTTCAAACATTGAAAAACAGTTAAAAACTTTTCACTGCTTTGTACTTTAGTCTATGCAAAAATAGTTCAAACATTGAAAAATAGTTAAAAATTTCATGCACCAGTTCACTGCTTTGTGCTTTAGTCTATGCAAAAATAGTTCAAACATTGGAAAACAGTTAAAAATTTCAACAGACTAGCCGGTGCGATAATGCGTTTTGTGCAATTCGGCCCATCGAACGATTGCCTATTAATGATTTTCATGCTTTGTACTTTAGTCTATGCAAAAATAGTTCAAACATTGGAAAATAGTTAAAAATTTCACACACCAGTGCTTTGTTCTTTAGTCTATGCAAAAATAGTTCAAACATTGGAAAACAGTTAAAAATTTCACGCACTCTTGTACCTTGTCTATGCAAAAATAGTTCAAACATTGGAAAACAGTTAAAAATTTCACGCACCAGCGTATGAAAGCTAAATAGCAAAATAGTTCAAACATTGGAAAACAGTTAAAAATTTCACGCACCAGCGCATGAAAGCTGAATTCGAAACCTCGAAGGGTAAATATCTTTATCCCGAGTTGATAGTTTCCCTTCCAAAATTTTCACGAGGCCGTACGTGATACTCAAGAGCGCGGGAACGCTGAATTTGAATAGGCAAGGTTGAGCGTGTGCAGGGGGTCATTACCCTAAAATTTCAGCTCCCTAGACTCGGTGGTTCCCGCGATATTAATTTACCCGTAAAAAACTTTCACGGGGCCGTACGTGTTACCCGCGGGTACGGGAAGGCTGAATTTGAATAGGCAAGGTCCAGCGTGTGCGGGGGGTCATTACCCTAAAATTTCAGCCTCCTAGACTCCGTGGTTCCCAAGAACTAGGGTAATATCAGTGACTTGGATTTTTTAACTGTGATACTTCAGCAACTGTATGTCATCGACATCCGTTGTCACGCCATCGATTTCAAATGTAAAAAAAAAGGGGAAATACCTTAACTCGAGTACCAGACGGCTCTGCGATGACTGTTCGCACGAATGCCGTTACAAAACCCACTGTTGATTGCTTAAAATCAATCGAAAAATTGCCAAGATCATTGATATCTTCACTGTTCCGAAGTATAACCCACCATGCTTCGCACAGATTTTGCAAAGCATCCACATACGCATGATCGTCTTCTGCCTTGAAAATCAAACGTAAAAAGCACCTCTGATTCTTTTCCTTTTTAACTTTTCAAAATTTCTTGTATAATCATAAGTGGATCCAGGACGATTACCTAGAGAAGGGGAGGGGGGGGGGGGGGGGGGG